GGTCACAGTAGCTTCTCGGTGGCAGAGCCGGAGCGCGAGTGCTGGCGTCGGTGCTGCTGCAGCATGGAGGTGGAGAGGGTGACGGAAGGTGTGGGGGGGGCTTCTGGGGGTGGGGGGAGCGGCTCCTGGCTGATGGAGGCGCAGGAGGAGACCGAGGGCGAAGGGGACGCCGAGGCCCGTGCAACCTTTGGTGACGGCTTGGCCGGACTCTTGGAGGCCGAGGAGGGGGCCGCGGGGGCAGGAGGGGGCACTGCGCAAGCAGACGCTGGGGCCTCGGCATTGGTGGGACGGGGCGGCGTGGCGTCCACGGCCGTCAACCGGCCCTCCGAGGCCATGACGCCCTCTGTGGCAAACATGCCCTCCATAGCGATCATGCCCTTGTCAGCATCCCAGCAACGCAGTAGCAGCCCCTCGCTGGCCCCTCGTGACGAGGTGGAGCCCCCCCCAAAGGCGGCACTGCTGCGGGGGTGGTGGTTGAGCCCCCCTTGGCTGGATGGAGGGGGGGCCTCCCCAAGACGTCAATTAACCAGCTCCACGGAGACAAACTGCTTCAGTCGCTCAAGGTATTGGCTGTACAGCTCCACGTCATTGTGCCCCGCGCCCTGCAACACAAGCAGCACTGAGACCTTCCACAGATTATAGGGACTGGGAGTAGGAACGACAAATAACTAATGACAATCATTTATCAATAATTAGAATTATTCATTTAATGATTTTACACTTATTCTATTTATTTTAATGGTACACAAAATTATAGAATAACAAGATTTAATAAATGAAATATCAAGATATCAATTAATTTCAAATATCATTCACCATCTTTAAGAAACAATAAATACTAATTTCTGGAACAATTCAACTAACACAAAATTAGAAATCCTGTATATGCAGCAAATACATATAAAAATGAATACCAGATCTAACTTAGAGAAATACAACTGTAATAACTGTCAATGAGCACCTCTACTGAATTTCTCTGTGGGACAAGAATATTTTTTTATAATATTAATTTGACTTCTATCATTCCAGGAATTCACTCCCCATTTTCTATATAGACAAAATACATATATAAATACAATAGCACACATTCATGGCATGTATCTATAACTCAATATACCATCCAATGAGATACTTATAACATATGTTTCATTATAACAACATTCAAGGCACAACAAACTTTTAACCCCTTGGTGCCGGGTGACGCCGATCGGCGTGTAAACAAAGAGCTCGAAAGCTGGCGTGCAGCCAAATGAGCCGGCAGCACGCCAAAGCGCGGCGAGCCAGTGATTCGGGCTGATGTCCCCTACTCACACGCTCAAAGTCGGCGCGCCGCCTATGTTTGTTTAAGCGTAGAGTTTTTTTTTTTGTTTTGTACACCCAGTGCCATTGGGTTAATCAGACTGTAATTCTATCAACATACATTACAAAGAAATAGGAAAATTACAGTAAGAAACAAAACGAACCTGCATTCAACCAGGCACGTAAATATGAGTCAACCAAACTCCGAGAGAGTCGTGACCATCAACCAGACCCCTCCCTGCCCTGCAACCCCTTCATTCAAGCCAGCTGCTCTCACTCACCTCCACCCACAAAGGCTCGACTGCTCGCGGACAGCGTTCGTGGATCGCGAGGCCGTGTGAGAAGTCAACAACATTGTCCTCCGTCCCGTGGATCACCAGAACCGGAGACGTGATCTTGGGCACCTTCTCAATGCTGCGGAAGAGAGGGGATGTCAGACAAAGGGAGACAAATTCGGCATAAATCAACAGCGGAGATTATGGTTTTTGCTCTTTCTTTTTCATTCCTTCCTTTTTAAAGGAATTTCAATTTCGGGTTTGTATTTCCCTCCGTTCTATGACCTATGTCATATCATTAATAATGAATAAATATCGGGGTTTACACAAGAAACAGCAGTGTTCCCTAATTATGCATCAAAGAATACAATATAAGGAAAAAATACTCATAACTGAGAGAACTGCACTTTTTTTTATATTGTTAGCAACCTTAAAAATGATAACACCAAAAGCTGATTTTTTACACTCTCCAGAGCCCTCTCTCAAAATCAAATTCAAATATCTAAACTCAATGCAAACACCCAAACAGTACTAAATAATTTTAAAAAAAGAAAAGGAAAAAAAAATCAATCGGCATACCACCCCAATAGCCCGCCAGGAGACGGTGCCTTTGGTGACGAGGCTTTAAAATCATCCACAAAGTTCAGAAGGCAAGAGCAATTCGCAAGTGACTCCCAGGAGCCTGCAAGACCCTCCCTCTAAACCCAACTCAATAACACTCAGGCCAAAGAATTAGAGCAACCTGAACTTCGGGTAAACCAAGCCAGATCAAATGTCGCGGGGCATCATCTTCGATATTCAATCACTGTAAAAGTGCTGGTCATATATCACAATATATTGATTAAGGAATGAACCAAGGGTAAAATATAAGAGAAAACAATGAGACTAATCATAATATCAAAACAAATACCACAGATTTTCATCATCATTAACTTTGGTATTGCTGATCCTGCCAGGAGAGGAATGAGAGAGGGAGAGGAATGAGAGAGGGAGAGGAATGAGAGAGGAAGAGGAATGAGAGAGGGAGAGGAATGAGAGAGGGAGGGAGGGAGGGAGGGAGAGGGAGGGAGAGGGAGAGGGAGAGGGAGAGGGAGAGGAAGAGGGAGAGGGAGAGGAAGAGGGAGAGGAAGAGGGAAAGGGAGAGAGAGAGAGAGAGAGTGAGAGAGAGAGAGAGAGAGAGGGAGGGAGGGAGGGAGGGAGGGAGAGAGAGAGAGAGAGAGAGAGAGAGAGAGAGAGAGAGAGAGAGAGAGAGAGAGAGAGAGAGAGAGAGAGAGGGAGGGAGGGAGGGAGGGAGGGAGGGAGGGAGGGAGAGAGGGAGAGAGAGAGAGAGGGAGGGAGAGAGAAAGGGAGGGAGAGAGAAAGAGAGGGAGAGGGAGGGAGGGGGGAGAAGGAGGGAGGGGGGAAAGGGAGGAAGGGGGAAAGGGAGGGAGAGGGAAAGACAGGGAGAAGGAGAGAGAGGGAAAGACAGGGAGAGGGAAAGAGGGACAGGGAGGGGGAGAGGGAGAGGGAAAGAGAGGGAGAGGGAGATGGAAAGGGAAAGGGAAAGAGAGGGAGATGGAGAGAGGGAGAGGGAAAGGTAAAGGTAGAGGTAAAGGTAAAGGTAAAGGGAGGGGGAGGGAGAGGGAAAGAGAGGGAGAGGGAGAGGGAGAGGGAGAGGGAGAGGGAGAGAGAGGGAGAGGGAAGGAAGGAAAGAGAGAGAGAGAGAGAGAGAGAGAGAGAGAGAGAGAGAGAGAGGAGAGGAGAGGAGGAGGGGAGAGAGAGAGAGAGAGAGAGAGAGAGAGAGAGAGAGAGAAGAGAGAGAGAAGAGAGAGAGAAGAGAGAGAGAGAGAGAGAGAGAGAGAGGAGAGGAGAGGGAGGGAGAGGGAGAGGGAGGGAGGGGAGAGAGGAGAGAGAGAGAGAGAGAGAGAGAGAGAGAGAGAGAGAGAGAGAGAGAGAGAGAGAGAGAGAGAGAGAGAGAGAGGAGAGGGAGAGGGAGAGGGAGAGGGAGAGGGAGAGGAGAGGGAGAGAGGGAGAGGGAGAGGGAAAGAGAGGGAGAGAGAAAGAGAGGAAAAGGGAAAGACAGGGAGAGGGAGAGGGAAAGAGAGAGAGAGGGAGAAGGATAGGGAAAGAGAGGGAGAGGGAAAGAGAGGGATAGAGAGAGGGATAGGGAAAGAGAGGGAGAGGGAAAGAGAGGGATAGAGAGAGGGATAAGGAAAGAGAGGGATAGAGAGAGGGATAAGGAAAGAGAGGGATAGGGAAAGAGAGGGAGAGGGAAAGAGAGGGAGAGGGAAAGAGAGGGAGAGGGAAAGAGAGGGAGAGGGAAAGAGAAAGAGGGGGGAAGAGAGGGATAGAGAGAGGGATAGGGAGAGGGAAAGACAGGGAGAGGGAGAGGAATAGAGAGAGAGGGAGAGGGAAAGACAGGGATAGAGAAAGGGATAGAGAAAGAGAGGGAGAGGGAGAGGGAGAATGAGAGGGATAGGGAAAGAGAGGGAGAGGGAGAGGGAAAGAGAGGAAGAGAGAGAGGGAAAGAGAGGAAGAGAGAGAGGGAAAGAAGGGAGAGGGAAAGAGAGGGAGAGGGTGAGGGTAAGGGAGAGGGAGAGGGAGAGGGATAGAGAAAAAGAGGTAGAGGGATAGGGAAAGAGAGGGAGAGGGAGAAGGAAAGAGAGAGAGGGAGAGGAAAAGAGAGAGAGAGAGGGAGAGGAAAAGAGAGAGAGAGGGAGAGGAAAAGAGAGAGAGGGAGAGGAAAAGAGAGAGAGGGAGAGGGATTAGGAAAGAGAGAGGGAGGAAGAGGAAAAACAGGGAAAGTGAGGGTGGAGAAGAAAGAGAGATGCAGGCATGAAGTACACCTTGCCATTGAAAACCTGCACTCATCAACAAAGGGCAGCCATCTAAGTGCAGGCTGGCCGGTGACGAGGAGCAGCTCGGCCCAAACACCCTCTTCACAGGCATTTCCCATGGCAACAAGGGACACAGGCTCATTACATTTGAATAACCAAATAATAACAACAATAACAATAATAATAATAATAATAATAATAATAATAATAATAACAATAATAATAACAATAATAATAATAACAATAATAATAACAATAATAATAACAACAACAACACTAATAATAAACAAATCTAAAAACAGAAAATAATCTCCACAGAATTAGAGAATACAACCTGACTAATAAGTCTGCTATTAAAATGTGGCATCCTTAGAGTCATGCTACGAAATCTAACAGCGACAGAGGCCGCAGCCGACACTGATAAGGGACTTGATCAGTTATACAGATAAACCCAAGAGGCTCACACCTTCTCAAGAGACACCAAATTATCAATAGCAGTGGAAATCTGTGTAAAAATAAAAAATTATAATGGTATCAGTGTGGGTGTGATTGAACAAGCACATGTGAGAAAAATCTTGCATCCATAATAATAAAAATAATATAAATTGAAATTGGCCTAATAGTCATCATAATAATAATAATAACATTAACACTACTAATAATAATGATATTGTTTATGATAATTATGATAATAACAATAACAATAATAACAACAAAAAAACTATAAATACAATAATAATAGTAGTAATATTAATAATAATAATAACAATAACAATAACAATAGACATAATAATAACAATAATAATAATAATAAAAATAATAATAATAATATGAATATGAATATGAATATGAATAACAAAATCAATATTAATTATAACAATAGTAATAACAATAACAATCTTAATAATAATAATAATAATAATAAAACAATAGTAATAACAATAACAATTTTAATAATAATAATAATGACACAATAGTAATAATATTAACAATAACAACAATAACCCTAACAACAATAAAAAATAACACCACCACTCATTCAGATCCCCAAACAGGACCCTTACAAAATCCTCGGCCTTTTTCACTTCCTGGTAGCGAGGAGGAGGAGAATTAAGACTTTTTACCCCCCCCCCCTTCCCACGTGTGCCCTCTGCCCCCTTCCCCCTCTGGTCTTCCCCACGGCACCCTTTCTCCCTTTTCTCTCCATGTCCTTCGTCTTCTTCTCATTCGCGCCTCTGCCTTCATTCCATTATTGTGGCTCATGTGGCCCCCCCTCCTCTACCCCCCGGGCTCCCTCCCCCCGTGGCACCCAAAAGCACCCAAAAGCACTTTATCAAAATGCACTGTAACTTTATCTGCCTCCACATTTTCATTGCTGCTGATCCTCTTAACTTAATTCCCTCTGACCTCCTCCCCCCCCACCCCCTACTTCCCCTCTCCCACTCTTCCCCTCACCTCCCACTGCCCTTCCTCCCCCTACCTACCTCCCCTTGCATCCTAACTTTTCCCTCCTTTTCCCCTTTTCCTCCTCTCTCCCACCCTTTCCTCTCCCCCTCATCCTCATCCCTCACCTCAATCCCTTCTCCTTCTCTCACTCATCCTCCTCTCCTCACTGTTCACCCTTTGTTCTTCCACTCATCATCTCTCATTGCTACCTCCCTTCCTCCCTTCTCTTGGCTTCCATTTCTTCCCCTTCTTCCTCTCCAGTCCTTTCCTCCTCTCTTCCCAACCATTCAAATCTTGCTTTCTCCTCCCTCCTCCTCAGCCGAGTCTCACCTGCCATCTCAAGGCTCCCTAGCAATCCTGAAGCCTCTCAAAGTCCACACACACGTGCACGCACGCACATGCACACGCACGCACACACACACACACACGCACGCGCACGCACGCACGCGCACGCACGCGCACGCACACACACACACGCACACACACACATACACACACACACGCACACACACACACACGCACGCACGAACACGAACACACACACGAACACACACGAAAACACACGAAAACACACACACACACACACAGACAGACACAGACAGACACACACACACACACACACACACACACACACACACACACACACACACACACACACACACACACACACACACACACACACACAAACACACACACACACACACACACACACACACGCACACACACACACACACACACACAAACACGCACACACACACACACCTACTTACCTACTTACCTCCCTCCCTCCCTCCCTCCCTCCCTCCCTCAGTATATACACCATCTGACTCACAGTTGCCTCGCATACTTATCCGCTGAAATTCCCTCGCCCTCTCAG